GCCCATACCCACAGCGTGGAATGACATGGACGTGTTGCTGGTCGGTGGCAACCCCTTCTGTGACGTCTATGTTGACGTAACGATACCCCAAAACATGACGACAGCCACGTTGAGTGGGCTCTTTGGCCTCTCGGCCGTTTGTGGCACTCACTTCGGCGAGTACATTGCTCCAAGTAGCAACCAGGTCGTCTTTGCCCCGCTTGCGCGTCAGTTGTCTGGCGGCACGAACATCATTAACGCGTGCTCATTTGAGAGATTTAGCCCCACGAGCTGCGCCGCCATGGTGGTGGCCACACAGGCGTTTGTAAATGCTAGCTTTTCAGCAGACCAACTTCTTGAGCTTCAAGCTGCCGTCAACGCCGCCGCCGTCGCCGTTCAAGAAGCGCATATCGCGATCGTACAGTACGCTCTCAACAGCTCAACACCGCAGCTCCTCTCGATCAATCTCCTCGATCCAAGCGACACGGAATTCATGCTTTTTGGCTGGTTCTTTCTCTGGGACTGGGCAACAGGGTACCGCGAAGTCGTCACGTTAATAGGGGACGCTGGCGCACTCAAAATCCTCTCGACCTTGATGACAACCACGACGTTTGAGCCGAACGCTCTCGAGATCCCAAAGAATCTTGCCCTCGTCTTGCGCACCGGCGTCATGTATGTCACGTTTGTTCTAGTTGCTGTGAGCGTGCTCGTTGTTCTTCACATGCTCGGGAGTCGTGGCCAGATCTCGGGCAGCCACCTCTTTGGCCTCAACCGTGTTGCTGGTATCGTCTGGGTGGGTCGCCCGCTGCTACTTCTGCGCAGCCTCACCGCCATGGCCGTCCTCAGTACCGCGCGCATCGACCTCGTTCAAAATGGCATCGTCACGCTGTTTCGAACGACCGTCTCGAGCGCAGTGCTCACGATTCTCAGCGCCGGCGAAGTTACATGGTTCATCTACGTTCTCAACGACATTCTCATGGTCTACACGCAGCAGTATGCGCGCCTCTATATGACCAAAGCGACGTACCTTCTCTGGTTGTTGTCGGCCATTTGGAGCTTTGTGTCGCCCGTGACGCACTCGGCCACCGTGGCGCGGACGTGCGCAGCGTGGGATCTCAACCTCCAGCTGGTTTGTCGAAGTGGCGTCGTGCGTATCGGGGATCAAATGCGCTTTGTAGAGCTGATTCTGCTCTGCGGAAGTTGTCTCTGTGTGTGCTATTTGATGGAGCGCATTCGACATCCCGACCTTCCCAACGACTCGCCAGTGTCGCACCACTTGAGCTGCGAGGCAAAGTACTTGTACAGCCTTCAAAAATGGCAGTTCCAGGGCACCTTTTACCTCGACAGGGCGTCGGCGACTATGAATGGCATGCTCATTTTCTCGG